TATATATAGTCCGCTTCTTTACGGTCTCTAACATCGTAGTATCTGTTTTTAATATGGTTGCCTCTATAATGAGCTGTTATTTTGCTGAGGACCTTGCCCTGCGCTTTTACCAGTCCTCCGACGAGATTCCGCCGCAAAATAAGAATTTCATTTAGAAGAATTTTCGATACTAAGCGCTATCTTCGCTTCCAAATTTACTGATGACAGTCAATTAGCATATAGTCGTAGATAAGCGAAAACTTCACATAGGTATTTAAATAGCTTCGGACAAGCAAATGCATACTAATGGAACTTTAGCGTCATTCTTGTATTGATAAGATTTGCTTGGCAAATACTGTTTATCTTTTTGTTGCCATATTTATGTGTAGAGCTAGAAATGACCAGGTGCACTTAGAATTATAAACTAAAACTACAAGCGGATATTTAAATATTAGTCCATTAAAGTTGTTTTGCTAAAAAAATAGTATTTTGTAATGCTCACAAGCTCTGTAAAGCTATAATGAGCAGAATTACTAGTATCTTTGAAAAACTTGCCATAGCTGACTGTACCAGTTATTTACCAAAGGCATAAATACCAAAGTAACCTGTCTAGAGTGTTTTACTCATAGGCCGTAGACCTTACCACGGGCAATATCTTTCATATGTTACAAGATGTGCGTACTACTTACGCATGGCCCATCGTTCTACACACTATGCACTTAAATGATATGTTCTCAAAGGGATATGTACATGCAATGTGGCAAATTTTGCAATTGGGGATCGCTTTTAACAAAAAACGTAATAAAATTTATGCAACCTTCTCTACATTGACTGAGCCTGCGACAACAAGTCTGCCGATCGATACGTTTTCTTAATGCACTGTATCATAAACTGTTGTGAAAATAGATAAATATAAAATTTTACGTGATTTCCTCTCCAATATTCTGTACGGACCTGCGACAGTCCGTAATCCGTATGAATCTATATCGCCGAGCGTTAAAATAGTTTTTACGCTTCCGGCCACCTTAACGATATCGATCACTGACGCAATAACCTGCGAACAATGCGCAGATTCGATTAGTTGTCAACGCAATTGTGAAAGTTGCTATTGGTAATATTCAGTGGGGTTTGCAAGAGCTCATATGATGGGATGCAGTTTGAGCTTTTTTTGAGGCTTTTTAATGGCGCACATCTATGTTTTCCTGTGTGACGGCTCGGGTGCCATGCAAAGCCGAGAGCATGTTAGGCCAAATGCAGCCGTTACTCCATCTTTCACAATAATATAAAAGGAACAATTTTTATTCGACAAAACTCAGCAAGTGTTTCAATAATACTGAACATGAGTAGCTATTAGAATTGTAATAAATGCAAAAGAAAATTATGCGATGAAAATTCGAATCAAAATTGTCGTATCATATACGACGAGTCTCCCGTTATGAAACGTGTTGACTTCGCATTCTTCATTCTAGATAAAGAATTCCATATTTTTAACTGTAACATCTGTTCTCGAATATTTTTTTACGGAAAATTTGGCTAAGTGAGGTAAAGGCTGGCAAAAAGGCGAAATATCTGTGGGTAATGTGGCATCGATAGCACGAAGTCAACTCGGCCTTTTTCCAATGTCTCCTCAAATCGACACATGATCAACGCTAATCATATGATGGCACGTTTTCTGTCGACTAGTATACCATAGCATAGGAGAGTTTTTCAACAAAAAGGACGACAACAGCTTGTTAGCTGCTCGTCGTGACATAGCGATGGCTATGGCAAAAACCGGTCGAACTAACTTTATAAAAGAAGCGTATACGTGCTTTGAATACATTGCCTAAGGCTCCCGTTAATATTCGCTTTGAGCAAAAATACAAGTGGCAAGGTACAGCATTATAGCAACGATTCGATTATTAGAAGTTATACCGCGTTATACGACGGCCGAAGTATGAAAGGGCTGGACATAATTTAGAATCAAGCGGCACTGACGCTCGAAACAACGGTAAAAGGTCACTCGGCGACTCGCATAGTTATTTCGAATGTAACACAACAGGACGCAACTTACAGAGCACAGCCACTTGAGATGTCGACAATTAATGTCATCTAGTTATGTTAGTTAAGCTTTTTTGAAGCACTGGCAAATATTGAGCTCATCTGACCATTTCTATAATCGAACAATACTGGCCATGCTTAGGTGCTTGAAAATAGCTGGACGAAAACCTGCCAAGCTTAGCATAATTCTCCGTGTTAATATTCCAGCTATGATAGATATGTTCACCTTCTACCTTGCAGAAGTTCAGCAATTTTTCTTGTAAAACCAACAATCAGTTGCTGTTCGAATGGTTTTTGACAGACGAGCGACAAATTCTGAGCGGGGATGAGTCAAAATACGCTTGGTGTTTTCCACGTTAAATGGCTGTTACCCTACCCCTATCTTTCGAATCATACAGCGTCATGTCGGCAGGTATAGTGCGGACTAGAATAATCCTCAGAGATATTCCTAATAGCTCGGTTAGTATACATGGTGGCTACCTTAACATGGTGGATAATTGTTTAAGCCACGAATTCACCTTAAACACCAGTTTATGCCCGTATCGATGGCACCCACTAGGTTTTTTTTTTAATCTAATTGTAATACTGTGTCACCTTTGCAAAACGCCAGTATCCGAGGAGATTTTGGGTCGCGTGATATGTCCAGTACTGTCGTTGGGCATTATTTTACGCTGCTGGCCCGTAATGTGAAATAAAGTGTGCCCACGCTTGGCTTTAATTTGGTTCGTTTTGTAGGCAGACACGTTATTACTGCACTATTACGCGGACTTCCTTTTTGAAGGGTAATTCTCACAACCACTAAGAATAATTTAAGCAAAGCTAGCAGTTTCGTTTATCTTTTTAGGAAAAAAAATGTTCGCATCTCTAGAGAACCAATGGTCTTCGATTCGTGTTGACTAGGGTTCTCATCGAACAGAGCGTATGTCCTGCCCTGTATTTAGCGTAGTGGATAGGTGAGGAAATTTGTCATCGAATACGTTAAGTAGCGGGTGACGAAACTTCTTTTACAGAACCAGCTTCTTCTCTATTAGACATAGTTGCAATGCTTAACGCAGTTGCAAACGTAAAACTGGAAAATTTCTTTACGTACTCTTCACTTGGGCTGTCGTATCTGTTAGTTGACTCATCTAGAAATCATCAATTTGCCGTACATAATTCCAATTTCCAGTGGCACCTTAGGCACTCAGGTGGCAACCAGATGTTAACGTCCTATTAATTCTGGCAATGATCAAGAATATTCTGTAAGTGCGAAAGTGACAAAAGCACATTGGTTGACTTCGGAAGGCGGTGCCTAGCGCAAGCGTTTTTGGCATTAGCTCGTTGACAGATAGAATAAATCGTAACAACGTAGACGAAAATTGGCTTTATTTCAAGTTTTTTTAGATGTATGAATTGCTTTTTCTCTTTGTTAAGTATCTGTAACACTTGCACCCACTTTTCAGTGATATTCAAGAATAACTAATATGCGCACCCATTATAAGGTTTAATGTTATCGTGTTATTCTAATTGATTACACCCGAAAGACGGATGCTTTCGAGGGGTAGGTAGTATATTTGAGCTCCTAGAAAGCTAAAAATTTACGAGTATAGTCTATTTTAAAAGTCGAAATATAGAAGAAAATGCCCTCATTAAGTGACAAGCGGAATGCGTTCTTGCCCGCGCTGCGTTTTACGTTGACTAGAGGGACTAGTAATATATGAGCAATGCGATTGAAAAAGAAGTTTGACGATACGCCGATTCGGCCTCGGTAATAATTAAACAGTCTTTGAACTCAGCATTTCTAGCAGATGAAATTAAAAAAAAAAAAGAAAGAGTTTTCTGTGAACTGGTTCCAAGCCAGTTGAGAATGCGTGCGACGTATTTTTTGCGCAATATACGCAGCTTCAACCAACAGCAAACGCTTCCGTAGCAGATAATTGTCAAAGACGAGGCATGGCTCAGTTATTTTGGCTAGACTAAGCGAACAGAGGAACTTAGCGAGAGCGTCATTTCGGCAAGTAATCGAATTCGGTAGCAGTGTCGAGTAGGTGCATAAGTACGACGATGGTATGTGTAATGGACATCAGGCCCATCTACTATTGCAAGATACCGGCCCAAAATGAAACAGAGAATGCAATTTGGTACCTCAAAAAACTCGCGTACCATTGGCACCGCAGCCACGCCTACGCCGTCTGATCCCTTGACGACGTTGCCCTCGACGAGACCTGATCACGATGCCCAAACCACTTTTTGGATTGGATAAAGCATTATCCAACGTTTAGTTTAACCCACTTGTTTTTCCGATCTCAGTCCGAGTCATTACAGGGCTTTTGTGTCCCGGAAAATGCAAATAGTAGGCAAACATATCCTACTATCGATTCTATAACTTCAAAAAGTTATAGATAGAAAGCGATTACATCTGAGAACGCGAACGGTAGTGGCTGTTTAGAACTTGCCACAGCGCTGGCACAAGCGTATGAAAGTAAAGAAAAGCATTCTTAACACATTTTAACCCAATTAGCCCAAGGATTATTCAATTTTAAAGTTCTCCAGATTCGTTTGTAACAGTTTAATATATTTTAATACGGTAAAACCTTACTTCTACAGATTTCGTCATGATGATCAAAAAGCAAGATGATGCAATTAATACTTATCATCTGCGACTTATCTTTGTTCTTGTAAAGGATGCTGTTTTAGATACAAGTCGAAATATAAGGTCGTCCATTTCATTATAATCACAAGCTGAATAATCCAAAAGCTTAGCTCAAGTCAAATGAGGATTGCCCTTAATAGGTCAGTAGGAAAACCTCAGTTCTTTACAGTATTCACAGTTTGATTTCTGTTTAAGCTAAGAAAATTTATTTCTCATCTTGTTTGTCGAACGGAACGTCGTGCGTCGTTGCTGGTTTCATTCAAATGGAAAAGTTGACAGCTAGTGGAAATGTTTTACTTCGATTTTCCTGTCATGGCTTCAACCAGCCGCAGCTTCAAAATCTTGCAAATTTGTGTCAAGAGTAATAACATGGGGGGAGGCGGGGGGGGGGGGGGCATGTTACTTTGTCGTCTGAAGCTGAGTTGAGCGAAGAACGGCTGCCGTATTTCCACTAAGTGTACATTTATTTCTTTACTTAATGTGGGCAATCATGTCAGTAATGACTCCCCCGCCCCACACTTTTAGATATTCCACCTCATATTTTTCTATGTACATATAGCATTTTGGCCTTTAACTGCACTATTCCTCTCCATTGTCCAATTCAGCATAATTTACCATTTCTGGCTTGAACCATTGAAATATCCACTAGCATCAGAATCGTAATAATACCAAAAGACACATATAGGGAAAACAGTCTGTGGGTCGAACACGTTCGACCCCAGTTCCCTCCCTACAAGTCTTCGTACGTATATTGTATTATTTATTATGGTAATAGTAAGACAAGCAGAGGCCATAATACCGTCGCGTTGTTGAACGTATGCTGTTCGTTTGACGTCGTTGTCGTCATCATGATAAGCAGATCCATTAATAGCAGCGGCACCATTATGACGCTATAGAGTGGCCACGAAAGCTAATAACATCAGAGCTCCCCCGTCGTTGTTGCTCAGCCGCCTGCTGTTGACATTTATTCGTGGCTGACTTGCCAAGCAGTCGTAATGTGACGTATCGGTATGGCCGGCCTCGGCCTTTGTCAGTGACCCTCACATCATTCATGTTTAGCCATTATCAGTGTGCTTAACAATGGATTGGCTTAATGTTTTTCCGTTGTTATGTCTCCGCACTATTCTACAGCAGCGACATCAGCGGCGATCAGTGGCATCAACAACAGTTGTATTATAGTTTGCAGTGATCTATGTATGCTCAACGATTTGCCTAGACATTCTGTGCCTATAGGCTATGGCGGATTTTGTGCGTGAGGTAACATCGCAGTTGCGGCACATCAAAGTTGCCGCGACCGAGCACTGGTACGGAGCGATCGCTGCGCATATTAAGTCGTCAATGCGACTTTCACCATAGCGTGTGCTATTATGACATGAGCAGCACACGGCACAAGGAAAAAGTTAGTTGAAATATCATTGCTGAATAAACTGCGTGCACAGAAGCGTCAAATCGCAAGGAAGCGAACAGACGGTGCTAACGTAGCATTGTTGATACCGCAAAGCCAGTTAACTATTTACGACAGTCATTCATCCAGTCATACACGCAGTCAAACAGACAGTTATTAAACGCATTTAGCTTTGATAGATATTTTAAGTGAGTGGTATTGCCATGATAGCCTCCGGTACAGGTAGCAGCTTTCGGCGATAGGAAACAGATGGTCAGAAAAGGCTCGATGATGGTAATCACGATGGTAATGGTGATGATGATTTGTAATGGACAAATAAGCAGCTGACAGACACCCTTTCACGATGTATAGACCTATCTACAGCGTATATGTGAAAATACCGCGGCAGACAGAATAAAATAATGTACCGTGTCTCCATGGGTAGCTAAGCGTGTGTCGATTTTTATTTTACGCTGTATTTCTACCATGACAAAAAGCTGTGCAAGTCTTGAATAGGCTGCGGAACCTTTGGGGGAGCGGGGTTTTCGTCTATGTGAAGGAACGAGAGATTCCTCTAGAATGAATCTGTTGGCGACATTTTTCGCATGAGATACCGTAACCGCTTCGGCAGATCTTATCTAGGGCGTGCTTAGTTTTCTAAGATATGTTAGTTGTGTAATAAACCTTTGTGACAACGAATTTGCTACATATATTTAGAAATATTTAACAAGATTAATTTTCCGTCTGTATAGGATACAGTATAATTTGTTCGCCATTTCAATTTAGGATTACTAACGAAATCACACACCTGTCTGATCGAAAAGCTGAGAAGATCATCAGTATACCCCATTATCTTTTTAAAAATTTTCCTACAAAGTTCGTTTTTCACAAACTTCCTGCCAGGGAGTATACAGCATACAACTTGACATTCAGGAGTTATGCCTTCGGTTACAATGTACAGAACTGACAGGACGCCAGAATACTCCTTTGATTCTACAGGTGTCGAATACCCCTATGCTATTAACTGAAGAAGGGCGTACCATCGTACGGGAAGCTAAACAAATCATAATCGACTAACAAAAACCCTTTGTGCTTTTGTACTCCTACATATGATATTTTATTTGAAAAGCAATGGGTGTTAACTCTGCTGCCAAGAGCCTATCATTAAAAGGCGCTGAATAATTTGTAAACGACAACGTTATTCTGCAACCTGGGACTTTGTTAGTTCAGGCAGTCCTTGATCTGCTTGTCTTTTCGAACTTATCAATTACTATTTTCTAAAAACTTCCTTTAAAAACATCCAATACAAATCCAAAAGGCCACCCGCTTTCCAACCGAAGCCCAAGATAGTCTGCAACAAAATTACAAAATTATTCATACCATCAGTTTCTCTAGGCGACGATCATTCATATTCTTCTTATATAGAGTACTAATATACTAATACATAATAAAATGCAGAAGCTGTATAGTTTCCAACAAAAATTATCCATCGTGGCCGATCCGTTGTATACCCCTTACGAGCTGCGAAATATCGAAGTATCGACTGCGATTAGCTTCTATGACCGTGGACCATTATAGTAGGGCACAACTGAGTGTTTTCGCGTCTTCTGATGTGGCGCATGAGTGAACTGGTGAGTTTGACCCAGCTTGAAGGACCGGTACTGCCCAGTTACTACGAAGAATGTGTGGAAGAAGGTTCTGCTGGCGTAATCATTTTTCCTTTCTTTTTTTGTTTTCGCGCGCATAGTGTTTTATGTGAATAAGTTAGCAACTTAATTATTTTCTATTATATCAAAGTTTTTTTCAGTTTGTAACTTTACTTCATTGACGGTCGCGCGATCAGACTGACTGGCGTCACAATGCAGCTGTTAACCTGCCTGCGGTTGGTTGCCTCAGTTGGACACCTGTAACTGTATGTTAACATATATGTGTGTGTGGAGGATTAGGTAATATATCGTTCAAGTAAAAGCGCACATAACAAATTTTATTCATCTACAAACAAAAGATCTGATCAATCAACTTGTGTTTATTCAACTTGTAATACCTGTAAAGATTTTTTTTAATTACACGTCGAATTCGCGCAAACTATTTCTGATTGTTATAGAAATGTGTTCTTGAGTCATTTGGTAGTAAATGTTGTTCGCAACTTATCGCCAGACAACAGTATGCTTTGCATTGTGTTAACGGAAGAATGTAAAAGAACTCTGCTGCGATATGGTCGATGACGCGACTGATGGACTAGTTTCTAATGTTAGAGAGTCTATAGGCGAAACAGTAGTTTGACTCATAGTGGCAGATACTGGTTTGACTCATGTGCTCTTTATAACGTGCCATTTGCCAATCTGTGAATCATACAGCCATCTCGACAACCGCGCGTGCTCCTCAACAATCGTAGTGATTCGACCCCTAGGAATGCCTTACTGACTAAATTGTCAGCATTAAATAGACGCAAGTGACTTTACCCAGTGTGCAGGATGTGACCTTCAAGCTTGCATTAAACGCGTTCAGTGTGCACATTATTAATGAGACACGCGTTCACGAAACTTCAGTTCAATAATCATAGCCTAATTGATAAGATTAAAATGGTCCATTACGCATCGTCTGACAGAGATGATTAAAGAGGTACGAATAGGGGCTCCAGAAGTACATTCAATGTCGAGAGTAAAAAATTTACCCAAAAATCATCACTGCACAATAACGCGAAGCCGAGAGTCTCAACGAATTCGTTTGGCTATAACAAGGAGAAGCACTTGTTTAGGAGTAGCATTGGATGGAAAAACATAATTGCGCAAGCTACAATATAGTTAACCGAAGCCACAATAAACAAATAAAGTAGTAACACAAAAACAGGCAATGACCTTATGAAAATTACAGATTTCAGCCACAGACCGTGTTCGCCGACACCTAACTACGTGTTCAACTTGCACCTTGCCAAATTAGAAGTTGTCAGCTGCGATTTCAGACACGCAGCTAAGAAGTCTTTATATTTAATTTACAAAAAGGCGTAAAACTTTCTTATATACATGCCTTTCTAAAAATCCATTGAAGGTCTGCCTTCTTAGTCTGTAAAGTACAATATATTCATAGTACCCATATACCTTTAATGGTCAATATTTCTGCCACTGACTATGTGAATATGTTCGAACAATCAGTTCGGGTGGGGGGCAGGACCACGGTATTGGCCGACAAGACAGGAGTCAGCTGGGTTGCTGTCACGAACACAATTTTTGAGTCTCCACAATATGTTTGCTACGGGACTCAACTCCACCGCGCTTTGCTACACAAACTACCGCATACAAACGCACGCACACACACACACGCAAACACACACACACACACACTTCCGCGCTATTTTTGATAGAATATCATAGCGCCGCTTTAAGCGTATTTAAGAGCACCACAATAGCGAAAACAACTATTATTTATTTTTGCCAATATCTATAAATCACATCTTAATACTGTTTTATGATCTGAGCAATAAGCTATTGATTTATCCGAGAATAATTACAGAAAATCTGGTTCATGATTAATCAATGTACTGTCAATTGACCTATTATCGAACTTACCAAAATAATCTTTCTCCTTCTCTATCCATTCAGTCAGGGCATTTTGATGCTAAGCTTAACTGCAGATAAAAATGGAGCTAAGTGCTTCCTGGATACAACTTATGAGCATGGACCCGAAACAATTTTAAGTGCGTTACACATACTGTGACTGCAAAACGAAGTCATTATGCAATTTTTGTATTCGCAACGCCTAACATTTTTTTCAAAACAATATTCTCGATTTGCTCATGACTGGGTGTGGCGACTTCGCGACAGGGTTCATAGTTCGCCTGTCTTCTATCAGTTCCTATCATATGACATCGAAAGTGAACTTACAGGTCGTAAGTTTAACTGCAAGCAACCGAACGTATGCTTTTCTTTCGTTCCGATAACCTGAAATGGGATTTTGATGGCATTGCGTTACTCTGAGCTTGATTGGTCTTTTTTCCAGACGCTGCAAACCAATAGATACCGAATATTGCACGATTGTAGACCCTTTCATCCATCTTGCTGAAGACTTTACCTTGTTAATTCGGCAACCTTACTTTTTAACGAATACATGCATTTGGAAAACGACGATTTCTCTAGTAAATTCATCCGTAGAATATTCATCAGACAGGAAAGGCTTCGATAGCGATTAACCAAAGCATTGACAAGACATTGAAACATAAAAGATGCTGAAGTGCCTTTTGCCATGCTAACAAGAGTGTGAGGGTACCACCGACAAAAGGCGAGAACCATTACAGTAATTTAACGCCGTTTCTGTTCGAGTAAAGGCTAACGTTTTAATAGATTAGAGCAGCTGCAGGGTAAACAAATGATACCCTTTTTTAAAACCCATGTATTTTAAAAACTATGTCAACCTAAAAAGGAATGCAACTTAATACTGGGTCATCTTTCACCTATAGTTTGCTTATAAATCAAACGATCCATACGCAACTGTTAAGTGATAATAAAGACTGGGCTTTTGTCAGCTTTCACAAGCTGCCCTTTAACGTAGTATATTTCGATTCTGCCAGGGTCAAATGTCAGCTCTTCCTGCTCAAGATGTGATTGTTAGGCTACTGAATTTGATGCAGAGCTGATCTGAAAATAGCTTTTGAAACAAAAATGGAAACCGTTCGTTTCTGCACAACTTTTTACCTTTGAAACTTATCGCGCGCGTGCCTAACGCTTCTTATGCACACAAGCTTGTAGCACGATCTCGGCGAGTAGCTTATAGGTAAAATATTAAATGCACGCGGATCATACAAAGGTACATCTAGAAGTCATGTAACTATAATAAATGAAATCGTCAATTGTCTTTCTGACTGGTTCCGTATTGGGTAGAAACATCTGTCCCTACATGTGCAATACTAAAGACTGTGTGTTATGATATTGCGTGTTACATATCTCAACAAGAGACTCTCATCGAAGTGGGCACAGAGGACCGATCGTCCTCTATGAAGATTCGTGCCTATATTGTAGACAGAATGAATGTATCGCCATTCTAATCCTATGTATTCAAATACTGCGAGCTTAGTCCCTTAGGAATAAATTCTTTTTAGATTATACAAGTGTCTATGTAAATTAACTGCTACGACTCCATTGTCATACCCAAATAAATACACAATTATTGCACCTGTGCCTGCTTGCCATTTTATTGTGTGCACATTAAGGTATAGCAACATGTGTTTGCAATGAAGCACACAGCTTGCTAGTACTACTATCTGTGACAGAACCACAAAAGCGGCCCTATCAATGGACTTTCCGACGGAGATCGCAATTATACTTATCGCCTATCGACGCGATAACCTGCAGAGCGGTTACACCATGCCCAACGCGCTTGAAGTCTCATTGAGTTTGGGTCTCGTAAGTAATGCTCTCTGTGCGCATTTCGAACTGTGCGTCACAAATAGTGCTCCATAGGTCATTAGTTCCTGCCCTCCACCTTCCCTTAAATTATAACGCCTCTTTTTTCGAATCGGCAGGCGTTCTCTATCATATTGCATATGTATTGTACTATCAGCTATATCTATATAGCTTCCCGCCTCAGACGTGCTGCTCGTCTGCGGTTGGCAATCGCGCGCAGCGACGCCATCAACGAAACCTACTGCTCTATTACAGATTACGCATACGGCACTCGTCAGTCAATTAATGGTAATGAAATGTGTGTCATTGCCGGTGACTACACGATCATCGATGATCTCTGTTACATTCGTTGCTTGCTGATGCTCTGCAGACGTGCCATTCGTGGTGAAGGTCCAGCCGAGCTGGGAATGCATTCGTGCCGTGCTTCTCACGTGAGCGCCATCAGTAAACGAAGCACTCACTAAGCGACGCATCAAAGAACCCTGATGGTTGTCTATGTAGATAAAACGAATCCTTTCTCTATTTTTTTTTTTGGTTTTTCTAGCTGTGTGCTCTGCATAATTAATTGTGTCTAAACGTTAGACCGGTCCAACCGCTCTCTGTGAACACCCTCGACTGGCTGCTCTTACTCTTCTACCATTTTAACTTCGAAATATAGCTCAGTATCTCAGTAGCATTTGTTTGTCTACGCTTCTTATGAAAAGTATGTCGGAGTACTCGAGATTCGTTGTACATTTACGGTGAGAGTGACCGTTGAATTAAACAATCTTGTAGTCAGTAACACGAGCTGACAGTGCAATTATTACGCTGTCCGTGTATTGATGGTAGAGAAAGACTTGTGTCAACGGCTCCAGTGTTAGCCAAATGGTGCTCAACTTTGTAAAATCTTTGAGACAGGAAAGTATCAAGCCTGCGAAGGTTAATCATAAGCTTCGATTCTACGCGACCTTTGAACTGTCGATCTACTGAGAAATGCTGCTTTTACTGCAGAGTGACTGCGTAAAAATGAAGCATCTAGATCTAAGTGAACCATAGTATTGCGAAATTTACGGCGAGCTTCAAGATATTTTTTAGGGTTGTACATGTTTCTATATGCGCGCCTACGGAGTCGAAGCTTACCACATGTTGTCATCCTTAGTGATTTGATTCAAGAATGTGTTGAGTAGATCTTTTGTTTTATGATTCCATTTTGTACACGAATCAAAATGCGGTATGCCCTTTGTTTCTTAGCTAGAAATGCGTGGTAAATGACAAACGTGACTAATTCCCCGAAACGCGCTTAGAACATCAACAAACAGACAGCACGACTTGAAATAGCCGACGTTTCTGCTATAGTTGCTAAGGCTCTGCAGAGAATTTAACCCCGACCGGGTATTGTTATTAAAAATATGTTCACAAGCGTAACATTATTCGTACAAAAAACGTTTCGTTACCAAAAAGAAGCAGCTATGTTTACGCTGTATCTTTGAATTATAAGAACATGATTTTTAGTTAGGGCAACGTACCTGAGTTGATTAACGGACTTTTCTGACAGGGCTGAATATCATATCATTTGTGCACCAAGGATCAGTGCGGAGCAGGTTGTCGTGTGCAGGTTCCTTTAGGCTTGCTACGGATTTTTAAGCATTTTCCTTTTTAGCGCTTTAATCTCGAACTAGATGTAGCAAATTTCAGAATTGTCCGACTAGTCAATTTAGACTTTTGGTAAAGTAATGAAAAAGAAATAACGAAAGCAAATATAACAAATTCTATTTGCTTTCGTTTTTTTTTTATTTGTGACCGCAAAACTAATAAATGTTCAAGAAAAACTTGTTTGAAAAAAAAATAAGAAATGCCACGAAACGTCTCCTTCGATTAAATATATGTCCATGAACAGTCGCGCATGAGCTATAAGATAAGGCTTTGTCAACACATATTTATATGCATCATTAGTGTGACAGTTTTGAAATTGCCTCGATATATATATATATATATATATTGTTAACTTAAAAACATCAAGAAAACAAAAATCCTGTAACCTATGGCTTACAAAATCAAACGTATGTATTTTACCCTTCCAGTAGTTACCGCCTGCGGACTTCCGTACATACACAGTTATAATCGACAAGCACAGATAATTTTTTGGACTTAAATACAGATTTATGCAGCCTTTGCTAATAGGCTCAGATGTCTGCTATTTAAGTTTGTGATGCGACCCGGATAATGGGTTCCTCACGACGATCCACGCGCTCCACCGAAGAGCACCTATCGCTTGGCCTTCCTGTGCTCTTCAGCGAGTTGTTGGTCTTCAAATGGACGCCGAATAATGGTTTTCCCGTGAGTAACAGTTTATACCTAACTTTTTCGCGCTAATATCCATATCACTCATTTAACACTAAGTACATTAATAACTAAGCGACGGACTTGTTATCTAATTATGTTTGCCGTACAAACAACCAAGTGTTATATCTAGTTTCAAGCTCGATAGCTTGTTTCTATGGGTTATAACATGAAACTGTTCAGTAACCGTATCATTCCTTTTTCATCTAGCGCCTATAATACCGATAACATAGCATCAGGGATGAACATGATATTTTTGACAGAGACCATCAGAGAGCTAAACTGGCGAATGGCTTCGACAAAAATCATGTATACATAAACTTATATTTAGTTAGAAGTCTCCCACAAGTCGTAGCTTATAATCGTAGTGTGATGTATATGGAAGACGCGAGATGACATGTGTACATTTATATTAGTTAAATCAATTTCTTCCACTGGCGCTTCGTTGTTTGCATTTCGTCTCCTCTATTTTATTTTCAAGAGTGATTTTATCTCCTGCGCTTCTGTTAGTTTAGGTTAGCATCTATATTTCGACGTCTTCCAATGAAAGCTGTGCCGTACCTGGTTCCCTTTGTTTCAGCCACTAACATGTAAACCCAGCTTGACTTTTGTTAAGCGCAGACCATTTTAGAGTAGAGTAGTGTGCGATGTCCTTCAATATGTTATATATCTTTGTACCTAAATATGTAGTGCTGTGAATTCATTGTGACATACTTAGAGCAATACGCCGCAGCAAATATGTTGCAGCACAATGAACGAATATAACTGAAGCAATGCTTGTGATCAGTATTTGGCCTATTGTTGCTAGAAAATTTGTATTTTGAATCTTCTTTCTATTCATTCTTATCATCAGTCCTCATCCTACTACATCATAATATTAAATTGTACTTTTATTAAATATATAAAAATTAAATAATAATAAAAAATATATTGTTATGATAGCATTATTCGATTGTTTTGTGTTGTTATGATTCGGCAAACCGAAATTAAATACATAAACCAATGCCCACGAGCATCTATTATATATATTCATTAATGTTTCAAGCTAGTATATCACCTTAATATATTTAAGTATTGTAACTAAAAATTTGTATTTAGATTCATCCCAGTAGCTTGAAATTGATACATTATACAGTTAAATTAGACGAACAAATGTGCTCTAAAATGTGTAATCACTTAATGAAAAACCTTACGTGCTCTAAGTGAGGCGCAACTATAATAACCGTTAACAATCGTCGATGAATAAGTATGTGAAATTAATCGTCTTTTTGACGTTATTACAGGCGGTAACGGATGAGTTCCGGTTGACATTCGACCACATGCAAGAGGTGCCTATTCTTTAGGTGGCTACTTAATTGATGCCTAAAAGCGAAACTTCACAAGCTTTGTTAGCAATAAAAGTTTATATTCATTGAGAGGAAGATATAATGCGTTATGTTTATTTTAAACTGATATTTTTCAAACAAAACAATTCACTTTTTACAAGAAAATAAACGCTGTGAATTTTATAAAAAAAAAAAAAAAGAAGAAAAAACTTTGCATCAATGGATACTTATCGAGTGGAATGGGCCAAATGAAAATGATGCAAATATATCGGCAAAGAAAGTGAGCGATTTACGATGGCACTATCGAACTCTCTGTGTCTTCATGTTCTTAAAACACTTCTTAAATCACATACCTTCCTAAATGTTCAAAAAAATCGTTCAGGTTGAGAATTTAGGCAATGAGCTTCGAGTGTTCTTCGCGTCGTATGATGAAGCGCTTACTGCACTCGAGAATTCCGAGGTTCGTCGGAATACATTTCGTTTTCTTGATCAGTACGGCACCATTGAAGACCTCCTGAAAAATGGTAAGCAGCGTTGTAATATAATAAGAATATAAGGGTTATATAGTTATTTTTCTTCATTATCATCAACAGTTCAACACATAACCAGGACACTTTTAACTTTTTCTTCTATGTCTACCAATCGTCCGCGTTATCGTTTATAAACGTATGAAGATACACTTAATAGACAATAATGTAGATCTCTTACGTCGCCGATAGTAAAAAGAAACGACGCTCGCATGAAGGCGTAGATCTAGTCAGTAACAGCCTGCATTCTAAAAACTCGTGATGAAAGGGCGTCCAAGCCTTGATTGATACTGCGCGCAAAAATATCGTTACCTCCATTGCAACAGAATGGTGTTAGAGTGCATCAACTCTATAATAGAGCTGTGGGCGTATCATTGATTAGACCTTCGCACAACACACGCCCAAACGTATTTTTTTTGCTATTGTAGAATTATGCATCAGGAGCCTACCACCTCATGGCTAAACGGAGAGTACTTTAGGGTGCCAGATGTTGAAGAGATGAGGAAGACAACGCTGCAAGAACAGCTTCATAGTTGGAATTAATCAACACGAGGAACATAGTAATACTAGCTACTGGTTTCCTTTTCTTGGACATCTTTTGTTATTGGCGCAGTACTTTTCGTGTACAGAATTCAATATTATGATCATGGTAAAATGCATATATGATTAGGTGAAGCGTTCTCTGGATAATTTCATTATGACTAAGGCAATGAGAATTTGCCTATTTGGCAACAGTGCAATGGTATATAAGTATTTTGAGTTCTAACCAATGGTAACTAAAAGAAAGACTTTTGGTTGTTAGCTATTTAAGAGATTCATATATAGTATAAGGTAGTCCTTTAAACCCAGTCTAACAGAATTCGAACATAAAACGTTCGTTAATACCAGATGCAATAAACAGGAACACTGTACTGAAATATATGGGTAGTATTTACATTGAAATATTTATTTTCACCAGAAATAATTACTTTCTCGCACTTCTGACATTTTTTCTCATACAGAAATTCTACGAACAATAAATGTTAACCGCGGACTGATACCTGAGTGTCTAGAGGAACGAATCCGAAATCAGCAGAAATGGTACAAAGGCGATGACAACTTCTCGTTAGAATTTGCACGGGAATTTCTTAGAAGAAAGGTAAAATTTATGCTTGATTTTGTCGATTTCATTTGGGATAAGGGAAGCCTTGGTTTACCTGGAGTACGTTGACGTATTCCTGTGAGTAATGTGGCGGTGGCCGGTTTACATAAATGAAGCAATATGCTTGCTTGTTGAATATAATTTTGCTAAGCTTCTACTGCTATGTCCTGTGCTGTGTATAGTATTTACCTGTTATATTTGACGTGTTGATATATTCGTTTTCTTGAATCGGTATCCCGGTTAGAACGAAATAGTTCTATGCGATTTGAAAGAACATTAAATCTTTGTTTAATTTACAATAATTGACAATTTTGATAGTAATAATAATAATACTAGCGTACTTACTCGTACGTTTTAGGAACGATTTTAGGACAATTTTCAATTGGCTTTAAAAATAATTTGCCGTTGCCGGCAACTAGGCATGACAAACACTAAAATGCATTTATAAAAATGAGGGTAAAGGTATTGTGCCAAAAAGGACCTAGAAACAAAAAGTAGCTATCTTGTGCCGATTATTCAATAAATAGAAGATGTGGTACATATCCTTTTTGGCTAACTGTAAAGCCTAAGAACCTGGAAAAAAAACTATTCCCAACTGATTCAAAGAAAAAGTGTGTATCTTCATTTATTGATCTCAATAGAAAAACATCCTCATAATTGAGTATGCTTATAAAATAGAAATAATAATAAAAAGTAGAAAATATTGAAAATAGCATAAAAGAGACATTGCAGTAGGTATGAGGAATTAAGAGTCAGTGATAACGCCCATATGTAGTTTATATGCCTGTATTTCTAGGTGTTCAGGAACGTCAATATATAGGCAGCCTCATATATTTCGCTTCGAATTCTTGAAAGTTAAAATGAGACATCCATCCAAACAAAGTGGGCAGTGTAATTTTGTTGACTTAAATATTAAAATGATTCTTTTATACCTAACTGTGCTGTAAAATCTATTGTTCCTTCCCTCATTAAAATGGCTATATTTTGCCGCACTAATTTAACTCACTGAACTGGAATTATATGATGAACAGGATATAATATTTGTTTCAGTTCAGTGCGGTGCGAAACCCATTTCACACGCCACAACCGACAGGCCTTCTGCCGCCCCTTCCACCACCTCGAAAACACAAATTCGGCAGCAGTAATCCACAGCAAAGCTTGCGACCACCTGATGGACATTTATTTGACTCGGTGCAACCTCGTACGTATATAAGAATTTGTCCATGCTGGTTTCGTTCAGCTGGACCTGGCTTAGTTGTTAACCGTATAGTTAGTTGTTAATTACTTAAGACAAAGCATACTCATGATCTTATTCATTTTAGTAATATTTTAGTGAAGACGTCAAAAATTATGTTTTCGCAGGTCACCATACAGATTTGATTTATTCCGCTGCTCTTGAACTTATATTGTAGCCTAGGTGGTCTTAAGAAATATTGAGTTTGAATTTATGTATTTTTCTCTTTCATTAACATGTTTTTTCCTTTTTTTTAAACCTTAGATGGACAACAGATTCTACAGCTTCTTCGATTCCCAAGCCCTTCTAGCGATTGAGTGTTTAAGGGATTGTAGGTCAGCCTATAAAACCTAATGGGCTCAACTGGCAGTCTTCTCTTCCTTATGGCTTCAATTAGTGTGAATCTCATTCAGGGCTTTCCATCAAAGTATTTGCCGCAGTAGTGTCGAATTTTAACCTAAACATTTTGTAACTGCAATAGAGCTCATCCATCCCTGATCCTATGTTGGTGCGCATTTTACTAAGTAACTGCTATTTGAAGTCAATGAATCTTTTTTGGATTTTCTTTCTTTTTTGGCTATAGCGATGTCACAAGCTATGTCCGTTTACACGGCTTCGGGCCGACCTCGAAGGAACTCAGCTCCCCTGAATGCTTTGAGTCCACCTAAACCCCGAAGACACGTTCCCATCGAACAGTTGCCCTCACCTCCGCCGACACCTCCACCTCTGCGCAGCCAGCGAGAGATGACTCAATACGCTGATAGCGTGAGTCCCACCGACAATGTCAGCAACGGCAGTGTTAACGATCCACGTACAACAGAAATCACCTCTGAACACGCCGCCGAAAATGGAGCAGTACCACTATTGCGAGCTGAAATCACCTCAAACGATCAAGCTGAAACATTAAGCACGGCTGACGTAACCGATGTCGCGGTAAACACTAGTTCATCCTGTCTTGCCACGTTCAACTGTATGACGAATCAAAGGAAAAGTGGTACAGAAGAGACTGGGGGGGCCGTTGAGGTCAGTCAAGATGAGTCCAGTATCCTTCGTACAGTGCCGACTGATTTCGTACAAAATACTCTGACAACTACTGATACAACAATGACCTCCCCATTACAAAAAAGCGACAATGGTATTTTTCTGCTTGAAATGATTCCTGGATTAGTGGATCATGTTGCTCAAGAGGCTGCTGATGGCTTTGCTCAACGAGTGTTTTTCAAAGACAGCAGCAGTAGCGCCGCTTCGATTCAGCGAAATAACAGCAGCGATAGACCTAGTGATAATGATGATATGATGAATAATAACAACAATAAGATAATCGATAACAATAACGCAAACAATATAGTGAAAAGGACGGGGATGCTGGCCGTAACAGACAAGCTAATTAAAGATGAGAATCGGCTGCTAGAATATGATCGACTACCTCAAGAGACGGCTATGTGACCTGTGTGGACAAAGGGCTGACAATGCAGAACAGCTGCAATTGCACATGATTCAGTCGCTTGTAAAGCAATCAGAGTACAGTCACCAGGTATCTACTAGATCAAAGACGGATCTGCTGTCTGCTATGTGCATGCAGTGCGGCCCAGCTTTTTATTTGATCTTTGTAAGTAAATAGTAAGCTTATTTTGCCGATTTCTATTTAGTTAGCCAATCGATTTCTCATCAGCATTCAGATTTCTTTTTTTAATTAATTTATTTTTATCAAGACCTAATGTATTATATATATATATATATGTGCAAGCATTGACTTTTAAGGAAAACAAATTAAGAAATGTTTAACTTTCTTTGTATGGTTTAAGATTAGCTGGGTTCTCAAGCATTATAAAAAGGTTTACAAAATAAAGTTCGGCAAACATTATATGTGTACGTCAAGCATCATGGCATAACCTCAAACAAAGTCCTATTAGCTTAAGAAGCACACGGACAAGATATACTGTATATAATTGTGTTTACCTTTTTATATTTTATTGACATTCGATAAATCTACAATGAATATATATATATATATATA